ATTCCAGTTCTTGGAAATTCAGATAGTGCCCCCTCTTTGCTGATCATGTTCTCCTGATATTTTGTCAGTTTTCGAGGTTCTCGGTTTTTCGATTTAAAATTTGAAAGTCTCGGAATTCCAATTCTTGGAAATTTAGATAGTGCCTTTTCTGTAAGAGCAGAATTTTTGCGTACGTTTCTCCTTCGAGTAAATTCAAGAATCGAACCCCAGATCTAGTGTAAATCCCGCAGAAGGGTGCGTTTCCACTGAGAGTGTCACGCGCCACGTCATACCCGATAATCCAATGAGCGAACAGCTTTTGTGTGGAAAAGTAACCGACATAACCGACTTTTGTTGTGCGCTGTACGCTCAATGGATTATCGCGCATGACGCGACACGTGACCTGTTTAGTGGAAACGCAGCCTAATGAGGGCCTCGCCTAGCGCAGCCTAGCGGTCATCGAACGTCAGCTTTACTGGAAATAATAGATACATGCTAGAAATAAGACAATCTTGCCTTCGTTGTCGAGTTTTGAAGTACAAGACTTAATGCATATGTTTATAGACCTATGCAAGTTTCTCCGGATGGACTCTCGTTCTTTTCTCCAGTCCAGATATTCGCTGCCAGGAGTCTTAGCGTAACTAGTAACATTTATAAAATATGCGATATTTTTCAAGTATAAGACCCCAATCCTGAAAATAGACAGTTTATCTCACGTTCAGTGTAAATTCTCAATCCTGACAGTGAATATCGGAGCACGTGCATCCAATATGGCGCGTCCCTATGTTCCTCACCTGGAATTGCTTCTTGAAGAAATAATATACCGGCAATTTTTTATTCGCTCTGAACAGAGATGTTTGTGACGACTTTTAAACTTCTTTTAAAATGGATAGCAACATGAGTCACGACGCTCATATCGTGAATTATTTAACGAAGCAGTTCCTTTGCTGTGCCGCATCAAGTACAATAGATTTTACGGTACATACATCAATATGCCCGTTGCCATATTTCGGCTATTTGTGATTGCACGACGACAGTTCGACAATATAAAAGGAATGCTTCGCAGGTACTGCTTAATCGTGGTCTCGATCTAGACATCCAAAAGGAAATTTTGGACAACACGGTAAATAGCGACTTGATTGAGCGATATCCGATAAAAACTTTGTACCAAAGAGCATTTTTGAAATTGCTTATACAAAAGGTACATTCAAAGCATATCATTTGTCTTTGCACACACGTTTGGAAGACACATAATTATTTTCTTTTATTATTACATACGTGACAGATAGAGCAGAGCGGCGATGAAATTCACGATGATTTATACACAGCGTATTGCAGATTAATGTCATTGCCAGATGAAGAATCTGTGCACTATCGTCATTTGTTAGTCGAGAATGGAACGTTAAATTGCATCACGTTAAAGGAGAGTACGAAGTTGATCTCTGATGGCACTACAGGCTTATGTAGCTGGCAGGTACTCGCCTTTCAGAATTTCTCTTTGTAATCTCTAAACGTTATTCAAATTACTTTAGAAACATTGCTAAGAATTAGAATCGTTTGTATTACTGGCTGTTGACCTTAGATCGGTACTCATAGTCGGATCTTATATTCAAGACCGTCTTGAATTTATCTAAAGATGCTGTATGGAAAACTTTATTGGCTACGGAGTATCTAAAAATGATCTTAAGGCGGTCTCGAATACAAGATCTGACTATGAATACCGGTCCTAGATTTGTTATCTACATTATACGAGTGTTATTACATCTGTTCTTAAGAATTATTCTAGTCAAATATCTAAATCAGCTGAAATTGACAGGGTGCGGTGGCGTTGAGTCAATGGTGCGCAGAAAACAAAGGGCAGTTTTGTGGAAAAAACGTACTAGAACTTGGCTGTGGCGTTGGATTGACCGGCATGAGCATAATTAGTGTATGCTCTCCGAAACAATATGTTTTCTCCGATTGTCATCCAACGGTATTAGGCATGCTGTGCGAGAATGTAAAACTCAATTTCCTATCGAACGAGCGACGCAAACTATTGGATACATCTGAAGCAACGTCGAAGCTGAAGTTGCAATTAAAATACAAGCAAATCGACATTCTAGTAATAGATTTGAAATGGGAGGATATTGATGAATATATATCAGAGTGTTCGTCGCAGCCTGACATAATTGTTGCCGCCGATATTCTGTACGAGAGCAGCTCGTTCGGTTCATTAGCATCGGGACTGAAGAGCCTTTTAACGTCAAAGAAGCATGCTATTTTCGCTGCAACAATTCGTAATGAAGACACTATCTCGCAGTTTTTTGAGCATTTAGGTATTTTGTTAATTTGTATTTTTTTTACATTTACCAATTAAGAAAAATGAAAGCCTCGCACGGAAAATTCAAATGTGAAAAAATGACACGTCTTTTTCGTTTTAGGAAATTACGATCTTGCTTTTGAAGAATGCAGCTTACAAAAAAGGACTGTGTCGATACAAACGATCGACGCACCCGTTCGGATATTGAAGATTTTTCAGAAGATTTAAAATTAGTTTTATCTTGTGTCTACGAATAATTTTATCTATAATTAAGTCTACATACCATTTTATCTATAATTAAGCGACCGATTCCTTTTTATCTTATTATAGATGATGTATAATTAGAAAATAATTGAGCTAGGAGCAATTAATTTTATTAATATTTTAGATCATTTATTTATTAATATTTATATATATAACGGGATTTTATTAATAACCTTAGCATAAATTCCTATATATATAAATAACAATGTGTTAAAAATATATATAAAAGTATTAAATATGAAATATTTTCTACATCTATCGTATTCGTTAACTGTTAACACTATCGTAACTCAAAACCATTTTCTTTTACCATGGCGTTTGAGTTTCACCTCAGTCTCATCCACATCTTTGTCGGCATCCTTTTTCATGGCCTTTTTAAATTTCTTTTCTTTTTTCTCCTTCATTTTTCCCTTTTTCGTTTTTCCTGCGTTAGAAGAATCATTGTCTTTGCCAGACCATAGTTCATTCTTGTTCCTCGCTGAAAGACGAATACCACTTTAAACGAAAATTCACATCGTATTTTATATTAATACGTTTTATTATCAATTTGCTTACCAGCAAATAGACCCATATGTTTATTTATGCTCCTATCCTCTTCTACCTCTCTTCGACGATCCATCTCTAAGCATTCAACAATTTCGTTCCTTCTCTCTACAATTTCTACTAACCTAAAGGAAAAGAAAAATGTTTATATAATGTTCTTACGCTTTATTAAAATTTAAGTAGTTCATACAGTTTTTTTCTGAATCTACCTTTGTATCAATGCTTCTTCCCTCTGTTTGTCCGAGTCCGTTTTAGTAGCTTCTGGTTGGCACATAAGACATCGTATTTGATATTCCACTTCAGCGTGTTCTTCCTCTAATCTTTGTTGCCTCCGTAGTAACATCAATTCGGCCTGTCTTCTGAATAACTCATTTTTTTCATTCACTAATGCGAACAACTCTAAGACCAGCTCCTCCACGTCCGTACCGAGCGACGAATCTGTCAATTAAATAGATTAAGGCTGAAGAATTCCGTATGCGGGTCATGTTAGATTTTGATTAACTTTTACAAACATGTAGCACATACTAAATGAAGTCGAATAGCACAAGTGACTACTTGCTTAAACGAGTTCCTGAGTTACTCAAATTTTTATTGTGTCGTTAGGCTTTGAATTTTTTGTCTTTGTATGCGCAAGTCGGTCCTCGATCAGTGAACATAGTTTAACTCTATAAAAGTAGAATTTCAACTGTAAATTACTCATTTGTATTCCTGTGGCGGCTGGACTAGTCGTCCACCGCGTCACGCGCCGCCGGAGCACCGTGATGGCCGGACTAGCCGTCCACCCCACACCATTCTCTACTTTCAGTGCGAAGCGAAGTCAACCTATTGTGCGGTTTTACATGGATTCTCAACTTTCCGCGCGAAGCGAGGTCAATCTCGCACATATGTATCGGAAAATCCGAAATCTAGTGAAATTATAAAAATTTAAATATCTCAGGAAGTTGTTCCGCAAATTGACATTTGTGCAATTTGGCTTCAATGAGAACGTACTACGCGCTTGTGAAACTTGATCAAAATCGGACGTGGGTTACATACGGAACTCTAGCAAATTAAATATAAATTGTAGGTAGAGCTTTGTAATACGTTGTTCGTATTCATCGTATACGTTCCTTACCGTCTGCTCTTGGTCCAGTTTCGCATTTATCTCGTATCAACTGTTCCAATCGCACACCTTGTCTTTCTAAGCCTTGCTGTTGCAATTCTATCTCATCTAATTCTAATTTCACATCCTTCATAGATACCACTTTGATCTGAAATGAAAAATGTAATCTCTAGATGTAATCCCATCTCTTATTTATAAGCCCTTAAGATCCAATCATCGGAATTTCAATGTTTAACTTTTTTTTTTACGAAGAAATCCGCGCCAAGTTTACGTAACAAACACGTCTTAATCCCGGTTTCACCAACGTTGTTTAACTTTAAGCCTAGCTTATTTCGTTCTTTGTCTCTTTCCAGCCGTTACTTTAGAAAGAGACAAACGTGAATTAAACTAAGATTAAAGTTAAGCGACGTTTGGTGAAACTGAGCCTTACTCTAAAAGATAAGATCTACCTTTCTCCTATGCGGAATTGGTCGCGGTGGGGCGGGACCCTTTTTCCTCTTCCACTTTCCTTGCACGCTTTTGTCGGCGTAAGATGTATAGGAGGAACTGTCGGCACACGAGATGCTGCTCAAACTCTGTCTATTTCGATTCGCTTCGTCTTTGTTTGTCTTTTGATCTTCCCACATGTTCAAGTTACGATCACCGTCGCGAAGCTTGATTATGGGAGACTCGTCAAAAGTTAACGCACTGCCGATCGATATATTGCGAGGTGTGCTGGTTGGCATTGGCGGTGGAGGAGCCGGTTTGGTTTTTCGAGCTCGTGGCGTTGTGCGAGACGATGAGTCCTTTTACACCAGAGAAAATCAAACGATAAGCACTTTCTTCTCCGAAATTTACATATATCTATTTATAACATATTAATATCTATGGATTTATAAAATAAATTTTTAATTTCAAATTTAAGATTGTGGACTAAAATAATTATCCATTAAATTTTATACTCGAAATGATCAATCAGACTGCGATCTCTCACAAAACGTACATCTACACAGAATGATACAAATGGAACTACAACTCAACAATAGTTTACTATCCCTCATGTCCCGAACATCTCAGATAAAAGGAACATCACGAGAGATTTAGATGTCAAGTTATCTTCTTATGACTATTATTCCTGTACATTCTTTTATCTGCGTCTATGTTATTATACGTGTGAGTTTTTCGTTTTTAATTTTTACTGACAACTTCGATGTTCTCCTGACATTATTTTCTGCACCCTAAACATTATCTGAGAGTCATATTGTTTAGACATTATTATTTTAGCTGTTTTAACATTTTATAATTTTCCATTGCAATTACTTCTATTGTTCATGTATTCTTCGACAACCGCATTGCTTTCATGCTTTAGTGGTCTTTAACTAATGCACCTAAAATCTATTTAACACATTTCTAGGATTTCTTTCTATTTTGCAACTTATCCTTTAGTCTCATACTGTGCTGAAATCGTTATGTCAACTTCAGCTTGTTGACTCATCAATCTCTTAAATACTCATCTCATGCTTAGTAAAGCATGAGAGAATTCACGAAGTTTTCACTGAATATGCTCGAAGTTAAACAGAAACGTCTGAGAAGCATGTATTATATTTGAATATTAATTAAATAATTCTTCAAGAAACGCAACAAACTCCGAGCGGCACTTTCACTTATCCCCCTCTCAAATCTAATACTTTCATTATCCATTAATTATCATATGAGTTATTTTATTCTTTACAATTTTTTGAACAATTAAATCGAAAAAAAACTATATATCTTAAGACTTACGTGATACGGTAATGTGCTGCTACACGATTTGAGGATAGACGGCTCGCCTTGCTCGGACGGAAACAGTTCTTTCGCAACCGGTGGCTGCGGTGCAGGTTTTTTCTTCTTGTATGTCCCACCGGGAGTTGTGGTTGATTCGGAGCTAGTTAAGGAACTATTAGACGCGTACATGCCTCCGCGATCTAAATCGGCTCTCCGTGGTGTGACACTTACCTCGAGAGTGGTCCTGTTCGTATAATAATAAAAAAAAAGACATTAGCGCGATACTTTAGCACGTAGCATTATGCTAGAATAAAATGCAAGACGTACTTGATAGTACGCGGTTTCGGTACAGGCATATTTCCAGGCGGCGTTCCGTCTCGCCTTTCCTCGTCGCTACCGTGCTGCTCCTCGTCCTCGTCCTCGCTCCAAAATGGATTAAGATTGATTTGCGGCGCAGCCAGGATCCGCTTGGTCGCGGACATTTCCCGATTTTCCGGTTTACTCCTCGCCGCCGGTTTCGGCGGTTCTGGTTCCTCGACGTCCTCGTCCTCGCTGTCGAATGGATTAGTCGACACTTTGTTGTTCCTAGAGCTGTTTATCACAGTCCGCGGCTTGCCCCCCGTGGCATCGTCCTCCTCGTCACTCTTAAAGGGATTCAGGTCTTCCGGGTATTCCTCACTCAAATTGATGCCTTTCGCGGTCAGCACGCTGCTTCCCATGGCACTTTCATAATGTCCCTTATTCATCTCGTTCGCTTCGATTCGCCTGTCCTCGATCTTCGCGAGGCTCTCCTTTCGTTTTTCGATGCTTCTAACTTTCGAGCTTTCCTCAAAATGCGTATCTTTGTCGAGACGTTCTCCGTTATTCGCCTGCACGACATCCTTTGAGAAGTTTTCCTCGCTTCTCTCGTCGTGTGTAATCGTCGAGTCTTTTTTTCGCTGTATGCCGACAGTGTCAAAGCTGTCTTTATGTTTATCGATAATTTTAATTATTGAATCTTCTTCGAGCCTCTTTTCTGGACGTTCTTCCTCATTCACCGAAAGAACGTCCGGGGACGTGTCGCAGGAGTCGCCCTGAACCATCGTGACATTTTGAGTCACTGCACTTCTTTTCTTGCTGTGATCCGTCTTATCGACATGATCTCCTTTGTCCCGAGCCTCAAACATTTGGAGTCTCTTCTGAACCAACGACAATCTCGTTTCGGGATTGGCTCGTTCATCGGCGCGTCCTGGCGATTCTTTGGTATCCTCCTCTCCTCTCTTCTTATCTATGTCATGGAATGAAATGGCAGTCGATCGCTGATCCTCGTCGCTCCTAATGTCTAAGCTATTTAACGCGCTATGTACATCATATCGTTCAACGTTGGACTTTTCCATATCCGGGGAACCCGTCACGGAGCTGCGGGATTCCTCCTCCTCCTCCTCATCATCATCATCATCGTCATCATCATCATTCTCCTCCTCTTCCTCCTCGTTCTCGTCGTCGTCTGGGAATGCCGAGTCGACCCTGCTTTTCGTTTCGTCACGACGACCCGAGTCGACGTCTTTCGTGCTCGCGGACGTGTCCTTCGCCGTAGACTCGAGCTTCTCGGAAAGAAGATGGCTGGTCATGAAGCTCTGGCGCATTTGCGACGTATGGGAGATCAAATCGGGCACCGCAGCGTTCTCCAGCATACCCTGCGCACACAATTAAGCGTAAATCGACCCTTCTTAAACGCGACCGCCTATTCAAGTCCGAAGGCGCGAAAACTGACCTTTCTCTCCGTTTTCTCCTCGTCGCTGAGCGGCCCCGCTTCGTTCTTCTCCCCGGGCATCGCCGCCGACTCGGCGTACCTGTGACGCACGCTGTCGGTCTCCTCCTCGTCCGGACACGTCTCGCAGCAGTACTGGCCCTCCTCGGTCTCGTAGTAGTTGCCCGGCGTCAGCTGGTTGGTGCAGCGGGCGCACCGGAAGCAGGTACGGTGATAAGGAGCGCCCGCTATCAGCAGCTTCTCCGCCAGGAAGACCGGCAGCCCGCATGCGGCGCATGGATCCCTCCGCATCCCCAGACGCGACCCCACCTGCGTTATCAGGCCCAACGTATCGGGGCCACCGTCATTATTCTTTCATCCATCTGGTTTCTAGCGCGGCGGTAGCAAATAAAGCGCACGCGATTTTATGCAAACGCCTATCACCACCACCGCCACCCAGCGCTACCATCACCAGGTTTTATCGGGGAACTTGATCGCTCTTTAAATTAGTTTTCGCGCACGCCCGCAATTACCCCGAAAGCGAGGCGATTCTCATAAATCGTTAAAGGACATTGAATTTTTATACGGCGTGAAATTCCACGACGTTATCACTCTATTCCGGGAATCGTTTCCCCGAGCTCGGTCGGAAAAGTGTACAGCTGGAGATAAATATTGGCAAATTGTAGGTCGCGCATTTGTAACGAGCCATTGGATATCGAGCCACTACCGTGTGTCGGTCTTTTACACAGCCAGCGAATTTCCACAATAGCGGCCGGCCATACATCTCTCATATTATCGCGGTATGCATCTAGCGTCCGGTGAATCCAATAATGCAGCGGATCGGTGTGACTTCTATACGGTACGTGCGGCTTGTACCGGGTGGTAACGTGGTATATCGCGCGCGACGTAATGACGAGAACGTTCGGTTTGCGAGCGGGATAAGAAAAGAATGGGCGTCACGTTAAATCTTCGTTCGCGCGGAGAGAAATGAAATGCGCATCGCGTCCTCGTCGGAAACTGGGATTGAAGGGGGATGGGGCGATTGCGTGCTCCAACATTTCCTTCTAGAATTCCCTTTTTCAACTTTCAAAAGCGTTGACGCAAGGACGGCGGAAAGATTCCGCCGGGCTCTTTGTGCTCGCGGTCTAAGCAACATTCGGCGGTACGCTGCAACATTTCGCGATATTCCGATATCACGGACGTTTTATTGAGACATTATTCTGACGTTACTTGACAGAAAAATTTATTCAGCGCGTAACGCGAAAGGGAGAGAGAAAAGACCTAAAGAAATCTTCTCTTTCTTCTATTTTCCCATTTTCTTTTCTTTAGTCTTATTGTTCTTTGTCAACTAATATATTTTCCATTGTTACTCTGCTTTTCACGCTTGAGGGGCCCAGAGCATCTAATAAATAACGAATCACGATTCTCTCCTCCCCCCCCTCCGTCTCTGACAGATATGTGAAAATTATGAACAATTTATTACAAATTACTTAAACAATTAAATTAGAAAAGGCCATCTTTTAATAAAATGTTTATTTGTATGAAAGTTGTTTGCATTATATTTTGATTGACTAAGTGTTAAAAATTTGTCTCATTAATGTTCTTGTCTCCTTTATTTCTTTCGGTAAAATCTTATGCTCGATTGTTTGGATATAATATTTTACAATAATAAAGCATCTAGTTTGTATAAATATCCATTTTAGCCGGCGCAATTTAATGATACCATTACTTTTGTAGAGAAGATAAAAATGTTTCTTCTTCTAATAAAATATATTCAAATAATTAAATTATATAATTCTCGATTAGATGGCGCTTATACTTGGCGTCTTCCTTTACCTTTTTTTAAAAAGGTTATTTTTAATTACTTATCACGCGCCGTATGTAAATGAGATTCGTGCTGAATGAAAACTGATTTCATTAAAAAGCGATGAATAATAATCAGTCCACGTGTCTCCGAGCACTTTCGTCGCGCCATCCGTCCTTGAGGACCCGAATTCGCGCGCTAATCCTTCTCGCTGCAAAAATCGCACGGATGACAAGTTTGCTAACCGCAAGATCGATCCCCCATTAAACTTTCATCGACACCACGCGCCTGAGTTCTCCATAGACGGTTAAATAAAGCGGCGATCGATCGCGAGTTAGCGCAAAAAAAAAAAAAGCGGAACTTGCCTCGCGATTTCCATCGCGCGATCGCTTTCCCCTCGCGCGTTAAATAAACATTATCGCGGGTGTATCGATTGCTAATAAACGCATTATTATGCGTTATCACGAGCGCGTAGACCCCGAGATAAATTTTTTTTTTCACCGCCGCGTCCGTAACGCGATTACTCGCGATTAATTAAACGGATACCCGTGTCGAAACGCGCCTGGCGTTTCGCGTCGACACGATTTCGCGCGAGAGCACGAGCGCGCGCTCGCCTCCGAGTATCGATTTTCGAGCGGCATTAAGCGCGCGATTAATTAATTTGATCGGCGATAAGCGCGACGCTAACCGGCTCTCCTCGTCGCCGATGCGACACTATCGACATGTCGCCCCTCCGTGGCCTCGCTGAAAATCCGGACACTTTGGTACGATATTCCTGGCCGCGCGCGCCTCTCTCCGGCCTCTTATGCGCCTCGTGTAAGTAGAACCACCGTGCGTGAGAATTAATCTCACTTAATTAGAGCCTTTTGTCCCGACGGGGAAGAAAACGAGAGCGAATTTTCGACGCGTATGTGTCTCTCTCTCTCTCTCTTTCTCACCGCGCGTTCCTCCGCAATCCGTCGCGCGACGGGAAACGGCACGCAGTGGCGGTTCGACTGCGTGGAACTCGCGCCCGGAGAGGCTGCTGACCGCGCGTCCGATTTCTATTGCGTGCGTGTCGTGCGCGCGCGCGTGCGTATGCATGCATCGCGAGTACACGCAACGAGTGGCAATGACATATAAATAGCACGTCGCGCTCCGCCGACTCGCCGCTCATGATTAATTACCTTCCCCGGCGTTCGCCGGGCTTTGTTACGGACTTTGTAAATGAGGCAAATGTAATTGTCGGCGCGGTGGCCGAGTTCCCGGCCCGAAGAGTCGCGCGCGAGAGCCTTCGCGGGTGTACGCGCGTGCACCACGCGCATCCTCGTCCCGAAATACCCGCGGATACTTCCGCGGCGGAATTCACGGGCTACTCCATCGGGTCTAATAGCAAATGCGGTTGCTTGCACTAGTGCGCAACGGAGCGCACGCTAAGCTTGTTTACAGTCAATTCTCATATTTAAGGATTGACTGTAAAGTGCGCACTAGTGCAGGCAACCGAATCCGCTAAAAGTGTTACTTTTGTACACACATGTGTCATTTCGCGAAGGACATGGAGGGAATTTTCGAAGATCATGTAATTGTGGCACAACATGGCAGTTCGTAGAATTTTATGAGTTTTTCGAAATCTTACCATACATTTCCCTAGTAATTTTACTTATAATTAGTATACGTCTTACTAGTATTAGTTATTAGTATATAATAAAACGTACAGTAAAATTTCAAAAAACTCATAAAATCTTCGAAATGCCGCGTTATCCCACGATTATGTAATTTTCAGGATAAATTTAAAAGAAGTTCTCACCGTGTAGAGTGTTTTGAAATTTTACCATACATTTTACACTAGTAATTATACTTGCAATTGGTACACATTTTACTAGTAAAACGTATGGTAAAATTTCACAAACTCTCATACAATTCTTCGAAACGCCGCGTTATCCCACGATTATGTAATTTTCAGGATAAATTTTAAAAGAAAATTCTCTCCGTATAGTTTTTTTTGACAATTTACCATACATTTTACTAGTAAAACGTATGGTAAAATTTCAAAAACTCTCATAAAATTCTTCGAAATGCCACGTTGTGCCACGATTACATGACTTTTAGAATAAATGTTAAAGGACCATTCTCTCCGTGCACTTGTTACACGCTTCTCCTCGTTAAAAATCGCGACACGCGACTCGATATGCGTCGTTCACACATTTCTTGCCGTTTAAGAATAATCCTTTCGCGATTCTAAACGAGAAGAAGCGTGTAAAAAGTGCTTCACCAATTACACACGTGTATAAAGAGTAAAACACTCGACCCGGCGAGGTTGCTGCGGGACCGACGAAAAACGCCTGGGAATAGCGCGAGGTCGTCTCGCCGAAGCGCCGACGGCGGATCGACGGTGACCGATTGTTTTCCGGGTCGACTCTTTCGGCCGGTGCGACGCGCCGCCGTAACACAATCGCACGGGTCGTTTGTTCCGACGGAGGAGACGGGAGTCTCCGGTCGCGGGGAACGTGACGGGACTTCCGCGCGACGACGATTCGTATCTCGACGACTCGTTGAAATTCGCAGTGCCTGCTGCACGCCGCTCCTGCCCGGCAAACGCGCGAATTTGTTCTCCAGCTAGAGGCGCGCGCAAAACGGAGCCGGCGACCGGACGAGAGACGAAGACCCGCGTCCATGTATATATTATTATAAAAATTGAAAAAAAAAACGTAAAATGTGCGAATAACGCCAGTGCCGCTCGTCAGTGTTGTTAGCTAGCATGACACGAGGAAACGCGACAATTTCTGCGAGTGGTAATAAGACATTCCCGGGCTGTCCCGCGCGGAACCGAGTCAAGTGGAGGGAGCCTGCGCGAGCCTCGCAGATTCGCTCATTTTTCTGTCTGTCTCTTACTTTTGCATATTATTCATCTTCATCGCGCTTCATCTGTAACTTTACTATGTATTCTACTTGATAAGGACCTAATGTGGTCGAAACGTTGTAGCCTTTTTGTTTAATAAATTAATCTCTTGACAGTTTGGTCGACTATAAGCTTGCGACTTATTTTTTACTCATTACTGGCGACAATAGACCACTGCTACATTGTCACTTGTTTTTCTTCCGCCTCCTCTTGGAATCCAGCCTGACCGCGCGCCACTTCTACTTCCCTTTCCGCTATCAATGAGAAAAGAAGTTAATCCGGCGGCTCTAGATCTCCCGTCTTTTTCACACCCGTGTGTTATCAAATGACCGCGCTGTTGTGTGCGTGTGCGTGTGAGCATGCTAGCATGCAGTTACCCAACAACGCTCTACCATAGGCAAGCAAAACAATAACGACAAAGCGAAATTACCTTCTAGCAGAATATTTCAGGTTTATATTGCCCCATTAAGTCCAAGCTTTCCTCCTGGAGAACAAAAATAAACGATGAGAGATGGGATTGACACAACACGTTTCAGCGCGAGGACGAGCGACGGGTTTTCCCCGGGGAATTTTGACTCGACACACGCGGACGTTCGTTCGCGGGGGGACACTCGCGCCGCGTGCCTTCGCCTCGGTCCATCTCATTTCCACCTCACCCCTCGCCTGGAATAATCCGCCGAGCGGCTTTTATAGAAAAAAGATTCCTCTTCTTTTTTTCATTCCACGCCAATCGGACGGACAGTCCGCGTTGCCTTGCGTAAGCGCAGCCTGTGGGGTTCGCCGCGTGACTCACGCGTGTCGGCTTTAACTACGTAATGAACGAAACTCTACCCACGCGAGAACGGATACGCCACGTCGCGTCGTGCCGCGACTCGTACCTACGTTCCCCTTCGACGAGCCGAGTCGTAGGACCGGGGAACTCGCTGGAAAAGTTCTTTGCTCCGGTTTTTCGGCAACTTTGCGGACCAGCCGCAGCGTACGGGCGGACTGACCGACGGAACCTCGGGAAAACTGCGGCGCGCGTGGGTCTAGCCTCGACGGGGAAGCGATAAGAGATAATTAATGCGAACTTGATATGCCCGCGGTATCTCAGGAACAACCGGAGTTTCGTAATATACGTCGCTGTTGCTCTTAGACCCGAACCCGGTCGCCAACTTTGCTTAACGCGCTGGTCTCTCGCTCGGCCTTGTCGTCGGGATTGTCAAAACTCCAGAACAGAATCTGACCTACGTTCGCGTGACTTCTACTTGGGGGCCAACATTTCCACGGAGTCCTCGGCTCCAGGCACCTACCGAGACACGCTCTGCTCCGCGGAGCTTGGCGGTCGCTCGGAAATAACGCTCGGGAACACACCGCCGGTTGTCGGGCGGGACCTTGAAGAAATTCGCGAGCAAACTACGCCTCGTTTCGGAGCAACGGTAACTTCTTGCTCACGACCATCTACTCGAGCCCGGGCCGTTCGCAATTGCGCGCGGCGCAAGGGTCTCGAGGAGCGGAGGGAGGGGAAGCGAGTGGGTAACTATCCGGTGTTATTGCGGATACAACGCAAAAATTGGACGGACATTTTCTTGCAGTCCCGTTTCCCCGCAACTCGCTCGACCGAAATCCTCCGACGCGCGATACTTTGCCCCCCCCCCCCGTCTCGCGTACCTGGCTCGCCGTCGGCGAACGCGAACGTTCTCCCGACCGCTTATTAAGGACGATCGTCCGTATCGGTCTAGGTAGCAATAGCGGACATCGGTAAGTACGAGGGAGAGTCCGGAATCGGGATCACGAAGGCGGCCGGCATGACTGACAGAAGCGGTCATTGTCGGCCGCGAAATCACCGGCTAAATGGATCCTCGGGACAGATACCGTGCACGCCAACCGCGCGTTTCTCCGCCAGGGTTTCTTCGCTCCGTGACCTTCGGAGCGCGTCTCCCCGAGACGTTTTTCCACGCGGAAGAGTTCGCGGGCACCGGTTACGAGACCGCACGGGCGAGTCTCGTCGCGTGAAAGCCTGGAAAAAAAAGAAGAAAAGGGGACGAGGCCCGTCTCGGCTTCACGATAGATGACGAACGAAATGGACGTGTCACAAACTTTCGCACATGTAGGGCCAACACATTTTGAAACATCGACGGGCGACCAGCAATTAATCATTCGCAGAAGGCACACAAGCCACCGTGGGTGCAAGGTATATTCTCACGTAAGGCAAACAGCACAGTTCCTGCATCGCATAGCACTACGTTCCATCCATCGCTATCAATTTTCTCCAGCGTGTAAACCTGACGGATTCTGGAAATTTAGTCGACACAAAAATATCATCGATCGTCCATGCGGGGTGCGCAGTGTGTTACTACGTGTGTGCGATCGTGTGGACGAGCGTCAGACCTATCTCTGGCCCGCCTACGCTCTCATCTCCGACCGGTCATCAAGCGAGATAATGGGGGGAAAAAAAAGGGCGAGCATACACATGTATAAAGATGGAAAAAGGGGGACGACGCTCGCGCGTGTGTCGATAATGCGCGCGTGATTACGCAAACGCGCAACGGCGGCGATGGCATTTGTTGTTGGCTGTTGTTGCAACGCGGAGTTACGCCGGTGTCAAGGTAAACCGCGCATGAACGGTGGCGCGACTCTCCTCGGGATTCTCGGCCGCGATCTGGCACGGGGAAGATCCGAATTCTACTTTTTCGGAGCCGACCGCGCGTCAGAGGAGGCGACGGCCACAGTGGATCGACTGGTCTCAATGAATGAACACGCAATACGTGGTTAAAGAGAGAAAGAGGGAGGAGAAAGAGGGAAGATGAGATGATTTATTAACGAAGAATGGCGCCGAAGTCACGTAAACACGTGAGTCACTCCGCGAGTCCGTCCGATCGCCGCTAATTCGCGATATCACACTCGGAGAAGATAAAGCGCGCGGCGGCATGAAAGCGCGTTTTACAAGAACAGCTATCTCGCGTGGCGAACGCTCTCGCGTAAAGGTGACTCGAGATTGCGTAAGTTAACGAGGAGTATCACTCAACGCGTTGCGGCGCGCGGCGGTTCTCCGCTCCGGAGAAGCTTGAGGGAGCCTTCCAAGCCCGCGATATTATACTCACGAGACTACTGCGTGTAAGGTTACGTAATGTTGATCGAAGGAGGTGGGAGCCGGGCGAAAGAGAGTTACGAAAAGCGTGTCCGCCTCGAACGATCGATCGTGTACTGTAATGATAAATAATCGTGGCGTACCTTTTGTTTAGGAGATTCCGGAACAGGGGCGATCCTCTCGTCGGCGGTCTCGGTCGTTCTGCTCGTCGCCAGGCGGCTGGGTGAAGAACCTGCGATGAAACGTTTCCTTCAATCCCTCATCATCGCGGCCGCTGTTTCGTTTCAGTATTGAGATCACTTTTATTGGGAGACGTGAATTAAATTCGCGAGAGGGACGTGAGCGGCTGCTTTCTTTCACGACGAGTTTAAAGAGGAGGTAGCCGCTTCGTTTCAATTGTCCCGACATGAAAGTTTCCTCCGCAGGGTGAATATTTATGCACGGCACGCTAAAAGTACCGCTATTGTGGCCGGCGAGTGGTAGCGGAAATACTCCTCTGTTTGAACGACAATATTGACTTTTTTCGCAAGGCGGAACGAGGAAAAGTTATCCAACTCTTGGCGCGCGTCTGCATAAAATCGCTTATTTACGCCGGGTGATCCAAAGTGTAAAGTTCACATTTTTTCCGCGTGGCGCCACTGCCCGCGGCGCCGCGCGGCGCGCAGGGACGAGAATGCGAAATGCGGATTATAATAACCAGGCTACGCTTGAGGAAGCTCATTTATCTCCGTTTCGATTCTTTAGTTTTATTACCACGGCGCGGTCGATACCCCGCGATCCGAGTGCAGAGTGGCTCAAAGTACTTCTCTGTGGCAGCGAGATTCGATAAGTGCACCCGTCCGCCTGCACGCCGCGCCGACGTAAGACAAACGTCCATCGCTATCGTCCGTCCGGCCGAGGAGATGCGCCGAGTCTAATCCCCGGCCGCGAGAGCGCGGGCCTAATGTAGCTATAAAGCGGGCAGGACGTCGACTACCGAGCAATGTGGCAATTTCCTCGTTGCAGGTAGTGATTTCAGGTACGGTACAGGCCGCTGACGATCGCGTTAATTTGCGGCCGGACGGGCGCTTATTATACAATGCAACGGATCGTCTTCCTATCCGATCGGGATTAGCCGTCGTTCAAAGGTTAACGGTACGGTTAATCTGCGGGAGAACTGGAATTCCGCGAGATTAGAAGCTGGGAGAAGAGAGATGGACTTTTTAACAGATCATGGCATCCGCGGCCGCGGATATCTCGTATCTAGCGACGCGTGGAGCTCAATAAGCTCGAATGATATCCCCGGCGAATCGCGCGCTTCCCTGTTCTCGCGACTGCGATTGCATGGGGGAGGGAGGGATGGTGGAGAAAAGATTAGAGATCACGACGCGCGAGAGGCACGTTGTATGCATCGACACTTTGCGTAACGAAACGCCGCCGGGTTTCAAAGCGAGCGCGAGGCCGGGAGCTGGGACTCGAATAATTCACGCCAATCTTCTTGATGCGGGCCGGCAAGGAAAAGAGGCTTCGCGACGTATGAAATATCCTTCCAATTTAACGTCTAGCCTTCGGAGGTCTCAGGCGCGTTTTCCGCGCGGATAACGCTCTGAGAAAGACGAGCGAATTGTGTAGCAATTCGCTCTTTAGGAAATTCTTAAATGAGCATCCTCGCGCGAAACAAGACATTCGATGTACTCAGATGTACATTACGGTACAAACTAGTGGCAATTCGCGTTTGCAGAAACTAATAGCGAATTGCCACTAAGGCCAGTTTATAATCAAAACTTTTTGAATACACTGTGTATTTAGCCAAAAAAATGATCCGCGCAGATGCTGTACAGATCATTTTACCGGCTATGAAATATTTCAAGAAATATTTCAGACGATTCTCAAATGTAAGAATTGACTGTAAACAAGCCTTAGTGTGCACTCAGTGCGCACTAGCGCAAGCAACCGAATTCGCTATAAATCCCGCTCGACAGGCGTGTTCCTCGCGACGATCCGTCGCGTACAACTCGCGAGGCCGAACCAGGGCTCGTTCGCCTTCGCGGCGGCGAACGAAAATTTCGTAACAATGACGGGGGCGACGTAATAACGTTCGTTCAACAAGTGGTTGTAAACGATAACGCAAAGGGTCGAATGCTAGCGGCAGCTATTTTCCGATCGAGAGATGGGAGCGGCGAAAAAGCCGCGGAAAAAGGAATGCAAATCTTGCGGCGGCTCAACAAGTGGCTACTCAAATTTTCAAAGCCAGCCGCGCACAATCGGACAGCCGGCTAATTGCGCGTTTGATAATCAGAGAGCCCGCCGGCGCGGGGCCGATAAAAACGGCGAATTAAACATCGGCGGAAGTTCCCTGGCTTTTTGCAAGACGCCGGCTGCGTCGCGCTGTCGCTCGCGAGAGGAGAAGGCGCGAGATCGCGTGAAAACGGCGTGAAACTTAACCGGGACGAAAGAAATCTCGTCGAGATATCACGTCCACGTCGTGAAACGTTGATCGAGGGGCGGGGAGGAGAATCAACCTCGGAATTCCAAAGCGATCTGTGCATCGCGTCCCGAGATTCGCGCTGTCGAGGCAGATACCGACCTTCGGCTTGTATAGCGCAACTTCCGCGACAGACGTCACCCGTGTGATATTAATCGAAGGGACAATTGCGGGAGATACGCCGGCCCGCGCCGAAGAGGAGAGAAAGCTAGAAACCAATCGCTGACACGAGCGCGATCGGCGCGGCCTATTTGGCCCATTTAGCAACACGGGCTGCGCGATCGTGTCGGGCGTGCGAGACATTAATGCGTTGCGACGTTTCGAACGTCACGCCTGTCGATCGGACTCGCCTGATTTCAACCTGAAAACGAACGTGATGTGCGCGCCGATAAAACGCTCTTTTTCCGCAGCCCGCGCCCCTCCAATCGGAATCACGGATGTCGCATTTGGAGACATGACGTGAAACGCGAGATCTCGCTTGCCCGGGGAAATGTTTAATCGCGCGAATATCTATAAGATACAATCGAGTTTACTAGCTCTTTATCGTAGTTTCGATAAGAGTCGCGTGGAAAGATCGATTTCTCGGCGAAAGAAAAGTGAATTACGCAAATTGAGTTTGCATAAAAATTTCTTTCCGCGTGTAAAATTCGCGTTGAATAATAAAAGAGTCGCGGCGATGATCGACTATACGAGTGCTCCTTCGAGGGAGAAAAAAATCTCCATGATGCACTTTTTCCTACGGGATCGCATCCGATAGAGTCGTCCTGGGAGGAGCGACGGAAAGAGCGATCGATAGCCAGATTGGAAACAAAAACTGGCACAAGAATCGTCATGCATTCCTCAGACTGTTCGCGACGTACTTATTTGGATCTGACCCAAATATCTTCCGGGGAGGGGGGGAAAAAAATAAAGAGCTACTGAATGCAGCCGCCGACGTTAGGTATGCTCGAATTATTTCAGTTTCAAGAATTCAGTGCAGCAACGGCGAGCGAACGAATCCAGGAATGAATTTAATTAAATCTTTCAACGCATTCCCCGGGAGCATCCTCGGAGAATGTTTACTCTTCGCGTAACAAGACGTCCGGGAACGATTCTCGATAAAGACATAGTACAACTAGTAGACGCACTCCGTTATTTGTTTGGTCTTACGTCGACCCTGCTGCGCATCCGTCATTTTCGTGGTCCAACCGAGGAAACGGTTATTGTGTGTGCGGTAGTGTAGCTCACAGACTTCTACAGGGTGTCACGCAATACCCGGCTCACCTCTTATTTACGGATAGAGCGAATTAGACTGATTGTAAGTTAAAAAGTCCTGTACCATTTTGCAATTTTCGCAAAGGTTAACGAGTTATTAATTATTCAAACTCGCTGTCTTAGCCCGGTGCACCGCCCAATTCAAGCGCGGGTTGCGCGAGCTGCGTGGTTGTTTATTATACGCCGTTGCCGTGTGTCATAAATAATTCCCCGCGCGCCTAGCAACACCGATCGCGGGACGGCCGCATCTCGTCGCGCGCTCGAACTGGGCGGTAGGCCGGGCTAAGACAGTGAGTTTTAATAATTAATAACTCGATAACTATTGCGAAAACTGCAAAATGGTAGAGGACTTTTCGACTTAGTCCGCCCTATCCGCAAATAAGAGGCGAGGCGGGTATTACATAACACCCTGTACACATCCATGTTAGGTCTGTCTGTCAGTGACACACCGATGCACGCATACTACTTTATTTACCTAACAACATGGCGGAACTCTTGCCTCACACTTCAGTTCGACGGTAGCAGTCTAGTAGTATATAGAAGTCTGTGGTGTAGCTTTGATAAGTACGTACGTACACACTCACACATGCGCTACTGGATTTGAATCAAAGACACGGCGGAATATCACGTGATCGGAACCGAAAGGATCAAAGGGCCGACAGAGAGTGGGGCACACTAATTGTAAGTTATATTATGATAAAGGCATTACTTTCTTTCTAGTAAAGCCGGCCCGCTTTCGAACAAAGCAAATCGGGACTCACCTCCGAAAGTTTGGTAAAATTGCGAGAGGTAGGTGAGAATGGACAATCGATCGGGCACCGTGCAGGCCGCCATGTCCTCGGCGTCCAGGAGAGCGGGGATCCCGAGGTGCTGCTCGGCCGTTCTGAAAGCCAGCTCGTTGTTTCTGTACACATCGTCCTTGTTCAGGCTGTTGAAGTCGCTGTAACAAAAAGCGAAGTGGGACGGCCTGAGTTTTTATCTTTCGCTAAGCAGTATTAATCTTCCACTATCGCCGGTCCACTTGGGCCGCGATCCCTCCGCCACGTTTATTCCGTCCGAAGGCCACTCGATAAAACGCGTCGAATGTGTAAAAAGGATTCCTTGAATAAATCAGATTGCTGATTATCCGTGGGCGTGTATGGTGAGAATCGCTTTTTTCATTAGGGCGAGTATAAATAACCGGCGCTGCTGAATATGTGAGTCGTAAGCGACGCGGTTAAAGTATGCCCGGTCTTTATTAAAGAAAGAACGGTCGCGCGAAATCCCGTCGCAATTATATCCCGGTTAATAAAACGAAAATGAGCAACGGATGTGACGCCGACTGCTGACGAACGAAGCGCGACTTGGAAATAAAAGCGAACCCGATCATTTTTTCAGGAGACTCCGCTGGGACTCCTTGTAATTATCTGACTTATTCAAAGTCGGAGCGCGGCGTGCGACAGGTCGGCGTGTCTCTGTATACCGTGATACGTGCGACGACGAAATACGTTCGGGGAAACTACGTAGGCGAGTTGCATCGGGAACGTCACGCAGTTAAATTTTCGCACGACTGAAAAGGTGCCGGCGAATGTGTAATTCATCTCGCACGTGGGCCACGGATCTGCCCCCGTTGCCGCGACAGGCCGTCCATCGAGACATGCATTATGTATGAGGGAACGGAGATGTAATGAAATGTTGATTAAACGGAAATAATCTAAATTAAGAAAAGCCGCGGGGCTCTCCGTTTCCGCGTGGGATCCTCCGCCCGCGCCTCCGGGCTGTCCGAAATGACTGATTGATAATCGGAGCCCAACGCTCTGCCGCGGCCGCCAATTGCGAATGAGCGCCCGGACTCGTCGAAACCAAATCGCGTTATTGCAAAATTTTCCCCGCGTCCCGCTCTCGAAAAATCAATTAGTGAATTATCACTGGAAACAGTGAATAGCCACTGATTTGCAGTTATAAGTATACCACTGAAATTTTCAAATCAGTGGCTATTCACTGTTTCCAGTGATAATTCACTAATTGATTTTTAGAGAGCGGGGAATCTATTCACGGACGGGCTCAAAGAGGTGACCCGCGGGATCAAAAGTCCTGAAAGGGGAGCTTAAGTCCTTGGAGGAAGCCGTAACCGGAAACCTTAGAATCCGAAAATGTAATATCGCGCTTTTATCTCGCCGGGCATATTTTCCGACTTTACGGCCGGTCATTACACACAAGATTACGGCGCGCAGCGGCTTCCTGTTTATTGCGCATTGATACCCCATTTTTTTTTTCGCGACTGTCTATACGTCCGTCTATACGACTGTCTGTCAGGCTACGAGTGCTCCACTTTTAGGTAAATCGATATGCACAGGCCGCATATTGCTCGGCGGTTGAAGTAATACTTGAAATTCTAGGTCGAAAGATGAGCACCTGTTCGATGCTCGAGTTCGGCTGCTCGATTGATAGCGCGATAGCGTTCCGCGCGGGACGCAAAACTTTTGTTACGATTTATGTAGAGCGTGAAATCGACCACGTCACGCGCGCGTTCTTCGCGGGCGCGCGTTGCGCACACGTCGGTAATTCCAGTATTGCGAAACCGCGTCGTGATTATCGAGGATCGAAGCGCCGTGAAATTCTGGGCGATACACGTCAAGGAGTTCGGCGCGATCGTTTCTCTCGGTCGCGTATGCGGCGAGAGCGCCGTCGATAATATACAACGGAGCGTCGTTTCCTCGCCAACAATTTCCTGCGGCAAACTCGTCGCGACTCGCGATAAATTCGGGATCTGATGGACGACGGGCGGTCGTCTGGGACGAGGTCACGATGAGTCAGAGTTCCACCAGACCGGTGCCACACCCATCCCTTTTATTCTCATCCTCCCCGTCCTTCTCATCTCCTGCTATCGCGGTCGCAAAAAAAATCTCCCCCACGCGAGTCGACTAGTCGTTTCGGCTCATTGGTGATATTTCATCCGCGCGCGCGCGCGCGCGCTAATCGCCGTATATCTCGCGAGACGCCAGTCGCGAAATGACGACGGGAGAAACGAGATCCGTTCTTGAGGAACGCGATGGAAATCTAGCGCGATGACGTTACACATCGGATGAGAAATCGCGCGACCGAACGAACGATATCCAACGCGAAGATGGCGGAGCTGCATATCGCGGCATCGACCGAGCATCTCTCTGAGCGCAATGTTGCGAGCGAGCGAAAGTTCAAGCCGCAACAGCTCCGCGTTATGCCCATAAATTCTCGCGTCTATCCTCTGCCCCCCGCGTTTTCACGCGCGCGTCCATAGAATTAACGTAACCCGACGAATTTCACCGAAGGCCCCAAAGGTCTCCTTCTTCGATCGGTTAGGCACACCTGTCGGTTTCACTTTCACTCGCGCCTCTCTCGTCAGAGATCGCCAAGATGTTCTCACGTGATACTCTTCCGGGTTATTCTTGCGCGGGCTCCTCGATTCAGCCGCGCTCGACAATAAAGGTCGGCCGCGTCGCGATCTCCCTTAATTTTCAATCGCTCCGTACGCAGGTACGTAGACAATAACCATCAAGAAGCATTATGCGCATCGCGACACGGGATCTCTTTGTCTTTCGTCGGAAGTTAAAATAACTCTCAAGTTCTGAAGTTCGCTTTGAGAGAACGAGGAAGGAAGCGAGGAAAGGAGAAAATTTCGTTTCAGCCGCGGGACGGAAGGTAATAAAAGAAAACTTCTCGCCGTTTTATTGCCTCCGCCGTTACGTCCGAGTAGATTTTGCCGGACTGACCGAGACAATAAGAGGAGGAGAAATGAAGAATAGCTTCGCAACGATCCTACGTTCGCGATAAAAAGCGAATTCCCTTCGTCGTGAGACCTTGACTATTGGAGCGAAGTTCTAAGAGGAATTCTCATACGAACAAACATCTTCACCTAGAAGAAGAACGGTCACTTTTCCTAAGGACGCCATTTTTTTTCAACGTGTAAATTTATACGCGTATGCCTTGCAATGACTTCAACCTTCAGAAAACAGTCTTCTCCATTCAATTATAAATATCGAAACATAAAGGCGTATATTGCGGCTATTAAGCCCCGAAAGTATCCAATTCTATCCCTGACGCAAAATCGAACGGGTAGAATAAAGCTGGATAAAAAGCCACGGCGAAGAGGCTTTTTGCAGAGAAACGGCAAAGAAAGGCTGGGATCTCTCGTTTCGACGGACAAGAGCGCATTCCTCTTAGAAACGTCACTTAATCTGTAACAGAACACATCTTGTCACGCTGTATCGGGATACAATGGGCGGTGATCCAATCCGCAGGCTCTTTCGCGGTTTATCCTCAACACGTTTCGCGTCGCAAATGATACGATTATTAAACTCGTTGAAGAATTAACTGCGTAAAACGAGCTACTCTCTTTACCGAATTTTTTGAAAATGCGTACGGAGCGGCACAAACATGTCATTCCTTCGTTACAGTATTGACCGGCCGCGATAATTATCAGATCTTTTCGACTAGCAAGAGATATTTATTTGGGCGGCCGCCAGGAAAGCTCGAGGCGTTATCGTTAGTCTTCATGAATAATTGAAGGCGAATCTCTACGATGTCCGCGCTGTTGTTTCACCTTTTTACGCCCGGTTTATTGATTATGCACCGAAAAGAATAATATATAATAACTATTGCAATGTACAACGGTGGAGAATGAAAAGTATACAATTGAACAGAGATGAAATGGCGCATGCGAAGGGTGGAGGCATCGGCGTAAACTGCCGCTACAGAGCCCAGCAATAACAACATGACAACGGAAAGGAAGTGAGCGAACACAGATACAGAATTTCGCCAAAATTCCCGAGAAAAGTTAGGGGAAAGGAAGTTGGAGGGGAAAGATTTCTTTTCGCGAGGGATCACTACGCAAATATGTAACGCTACCGATCACAAGCAGACCGAGTGTGCCTACTAAGCTTGAGCCTAGGTGGGTTTTTTTTATTTAATTAATTACGAATTCTGATTGGCCATCATTTGTTCAGTTTCTTCTCTCTCCCATCGTCCGATTGATAAAAAAAAATTGCAGTGGAAAGTTATGCGGAACAAATGATTCCACAGGAGACATATAACGATTAAGGGCGTATCCTCGGATAGTTGGGCACTACAGTGCGCCGCGTAATGATTTTCGGGTGAAAAAATATCGGGCAAGGAGACTAGGTCAAGATGCGAACCTTTTGCTTGCCGGGCGACCGCTCTTCTACCGAGGCTCGATATCGCTTGACTACTCTCTCGCCAAATAAAGTGAGAGACAATATGTTATCAGCGCGACAATGGCGAGCTCGTAGTCTCTCTGCTCGAACTGAGCAGTAATCCCCGCAGGTGCGGCAGAGGCAACGTCAGGGGGACCGGGCAAGGAGGCCGAGGGTTTCTCAAGATGGGCGCAACGCTCCTTCAGGAGCATCTCTATCAAGGAACGCTCGACATTAGGCTGGCGCTGAAGAGCCCTCTCGATCTCAGCTACCCTGGTGTCAAGATTCAATTTATGATCAATGCGATCGATCAGATCCAACCGCGATTCCAGTCCGGTGATCCTGGAATCCCAGGTTGACATGTTCGCCGTTGAACTATCGTTTAAATATCGAATACAATGTGGATTATGTTCTTGCGGCAGAGGGCGAGGGGTAAGTAAGTTTACCCATGACGGTATGCGCTCGGGAAGAGCGGAGGCAAAGCCATAACTTATAGAAGGCCAGAGGCCTACCATCGCAGCGAAACAAAGGATCATGTTCGAAAGCAGATACATGGTCTGTTCTTTAATAAAATGACACGTAAATCGAATGATTCCAGTTAATTTTTTAATAAAGATTTTAAAATGAACTTAAGGCCCGGTTTCACCAACATTTAACCTTAGCTTGACTGACCCTTAAAAAGAGACAAAGAGTGAGTTGCGCTAAGATTTAATGTTAAGCGACGTTGGTGTGAAACCGGGCCTAAGAAGTCAAAATATATTATTCCCACGCGAAGATCTTAAAGTACATGGCCACCGATATTGCATAACGCGACACAATTCCGCCTGCATTCCGTTATCACCTATAAAACACCGAGGCACATCCTCCGTGTGATGGGTGCAGGCTGCTGTTGCTTTATCGATCGTCAATTCACTGAACTTCTATTTTTAGAAGGACCTTCCTTCGTCGCCGAGCGCTGGCGACGCGAAATCCTGGGATTACTATCATCAAAAGGGGACAATCCCGTCGGAGATGCCTGGGGATCTCCGGATCTTTGCATCTTTAAGATCCCGAAAGATTCTCCGATACTTTAATAAGTCTACGAGCACTAACGCACTTGGACACGGAGGTCTGTGAATTTTTCTTGGCTACATCTTATTCCACCTGACACCTAGTCGTGCCAAGATGAAAGAATCGTGTCGAAATATTCATATCGAATAAAGAATCTCGTCGGCGAGAATCGACCAACTGCGTGCAATTAAGACGCGATACGGCCAAGTCGGACGACGAGACGCGTGAGGACTCGAGCTCTTCTGTTACTTAATTTGCGCATAATTAAGACGAAACGTAGCCAAGTCGGACGGCGAGACACGCAAACGCACACTCGGGGAGTTTTCTCTCTCTCTCTCTCTTAATTTACGAGACAATCGGCTTAACGAGGACAATTTGAAGCCGCGCCAAGAATCGAGCAATGTACGGATTAAATCGCACTTTTACGAACACGTACGATCGACCATTCGATCGTTCCCACGGAACATTACAGCTCGCGAAAGAGAGAGAGAGAGAGAGAGAGAGAGAGAGAAAGAGAGAACTGTTACAAAGTTGGTTCGATAAACGGCGGAAAAATGGTTTCGCGTCGTTATCCGTGTAATACGATATCTTTCCGAGATATTTACCGCGTTACAACGTCGATTACATACTCGCTATAAACTTACATGAGGTCCGGCCGAAAGTGATGAATCATGGCGCAGAAGGCGAGCCCGTCTCTCCAGGAGGTGGTCATGTTTTGCACGTTTACACCCGGATAACCGTCGGTTATCCGACGGCACCAAAGCTCCAGCGCCTTCGTGCCGCGTCTCTCGCCCATCGTTGCTTCCTTTTTTTTCCCCTCCTTTTACGCCTTGCGACAGACTTCCCCTGGCGGCCGCGAACACCTTTCTTTCACTCGGCCAGCTCCTCTATGGCCTCTATATCGTTAGCGCGATTTCTTCCAACGCTACTAGTTTGGCTTCTGAAAAAGAGAAACAAAATTCCCCGTGTATAGACTCGCAGCAACGTAACGCGCAATGTTATTCGTTGTGTACGTCCTAACGATCGGGACGTCAGGTGCGCGCCGAGATTAGTCCCCGACTACGCTCCCGTTACGTGTAAATAAATCCGAGATATTTTCCCAGGGATCTCTCGCGGAGACGCCTGCAGTGTCACGGTTGTCGCGGTTGGACGGCGTCAAAAAGAGGGGAAAGGAGAGGGATGAAAAAAGGAGGCGAAAAAGAAAAGCGGAGTGTCACCGCAAATCGGTGGCGCCGCACGGAATGATCGAGTGCGCGCGTTTTGTCGTAACGGGCCGCGGCGCCGCGCTCTCGAAAGCCGCCGTTAGGATAGCGAGGGGGGAAGAAGAAGAAAAAAAAAGATTGCCAGCTGTGTAAAAATCGCGGGCCGTTCCGTTGACAGTCCAGTACCGAATGACGTTTTGCGCAACGTGAAAGCAGGAGGCTGCGCCGCGCCGCGCCGCCGGGTCAAGCGTGAAACCGCGCGCGCGTGTTTTACGCGCGCCGCATTCATTAACCCTTCGTTTATTATTCCACGCGTCGCTTCCCTCTTGGTACGAAGAATCCGCGAACCGAGACAATTCCCCGAAATCGATGACAGAACACAGGAGGAGGAGGAGGAGGAGGAGGGGGGGAGGGAGAGGTGGGTATCGTAACAGTGCGGTTATGATATTTCGCGTGGCGATTAAAAATTCAGGAGCCGACGCTTTATGTAATGGGAAAGCCGGGTACGGCATAGAATATTTTATAAGTCTGAAAGAAATCGCACTGATACTCTATTTTCACCTTCTCCCGCGAATCGCCGGGCGGCGCGAGTCGATAAATGAGAGAAGGATGAGAAGGTGGCTTCCGAGAAATCCATTCAGGACCGTCTCCCCGCATCTCGCTCCGCGCGACGCTCAGATTAATGTCGGGGGCCTCTCCTTCTCGGTTTCAGCGCAAATACGAAAGCGGACCGGCGACACGTCCAAATGAGATTCGTAATTGCTTTAAAATGCAATAAAGCCGCGCCGTATAGTATTACGCATTACGCGCGATATCGCGCGAAAAACTGGAACGGATAGGTAGTTAACGGGAAAGTGCTCGGTCGATCCTCGCGTTTAGCCGCGAGTCCGACCGGTTTTACTGCTAAGCGCGGCCTCGTATCTGTAACAACGCCTGTCCAACTATCCCACGGGCCCTCTCTCGCGAGAGGGGGGGAAAAAAAACCGCCAATTTCCAGTTTTTGCCCGTGGTCTACGGCGAAACGCCCCTGGCTCGCGAATTCTGCCGCGTTTGTCGCGTGCAGATTCGCAGCGGCGAGGCAGCCGGTTCAGCAGCAACATTTTATTGTCAACGCACTTTTTCCACTCTTCGGAACTACGCGTCGGATTTCCACCGCTTTTGTGTCGATTCTTCTTTTTCCTTCCCCCCCCCCCCCCTCCCGACGATTCCGCGACACACTTGTCGCATCGGCTTTCACCGACAGGATAAAAATCATCACGTTTTATAGTCAGCTGGAAGCCATCCGAGTCTCAATGTCCGCTTTTCCGCTCTCGGCGGATGGGGGAGGGGGAGGAGGGGAAAAAACGAGGGAGCGAAGAGCTCTCTTCGACAAACGCTCGCGTGTCGGACGGTTTTGTATGAATTACGATGTAATCAGGTTCAGAAGCTTTAAAGTTTCCGTCGCGCTTCCCGACGCATCGACGTGTCCCGCCTTTCCATCCGCTTAGTCGTTAAGCCCCGCGATTGCAACGGTATCCCAGGCGTTGCGCACCGTGATTAATGGTCCAGCCATGAGTGAAACGTAAGTGCGCAGAAAATAAGTAAAAGTTACACGCGGCGAAGTAGTCGGCCTTGTTCACCGTTCGCCAACAGCCGTGGGGCTGTAAAGGCCGCATTACAGGTGAGACATCGTGAGACAGAGAGGGCGGATGTACCGGCGAAGCGAGGGCGACCAGCCCTGACGCCCGTTCTACACCTAGGGATGATCCTACTTGTGGCTCATCCGAGCGAGTAAATAAATGGACGGTTTATGGGCTCGGGTGCCATTTCTACCTATAGGAAGACGGTTGAAAATCACAGTGAAATGATACAAAAAGCCACGCTTGGTACGACAGTCGTACGCAAATGCCCGTGTAAACTTCTCCACTCGGATGAGCCACAAGCGGGATCATCCCTGGGTGTAGAACGGGCGCGTCAACGTACAATACAATACGAGCATTGTCTCCGCGACCGGTTTCCCTCGCGATCTTCACGAAAAATGACAATGACGTTGAAGATTCGTCTCTCATCTGGGAAGCTGATTGGCAAACGGATAATCGGCATCTTCCACCGGTGATATCGCGAGGCAGTCGACAAGTCTTCTACCAGCAGTTTTCTCAAGCCACTTGATCGTTAACGCCTGCGATAAGATCGCCGTGGAGAAAACCGGACGGGCGCGCGTGTTATTTATGAGCCATTCTAGGAAAATCAGGTGAGAATTAGCGGAAACAATTGGAGTGAAAGTAAAAAGTAAGATAAAAGCGAAAATTATTACAGGCGCGCGCGCGCAACGCCGAGATCGACCACTCACGTGGAGCGAGAGAACCCGAACGATTCGGCGCGGGGCATCGCTTTCGATTTAGCGCAACGTACCGCAACCGCGGCCGTACTTTCGCGAAAAGCTAATATTTAACCTACGATCACGTAGGCTGAAGAGAGTATCGAGCGTGTCCGCGGGGCTGAGCCTAAAGGCACGGCCTCTCGATATCAGAGAAGGGCTCGCCGCGGCGAGCCTTTCGAAAGACGTCGGCTGCCCGCGGAGCTCGGGCAAAAGTGAAGGTGCATCTATGTGTGGCCCGGCGAGCGAGCCGCGTACCCCGAGAGAGGAAGAGGGACGGAGGGAGGTCTCATGAAAGATTCATGCCGGCGAGGAGGACGGCCTGCGGCGTTGCCTGAGACACCTGCGGTAACCTCCGCCACGACAAGTTTCACAGGAGATTAGGATGTCCCCGATATTTTTACAGTTAGTCGCGTCCTGGAATTGAGGGACGGGCGTCGCGGGGTCACTTCCGACCGATACACCTATGGGGCGTCCTACGTACGTGCCTCGCTTTTATATACGTCTCGATCGACGACCGGGTGACACGCTTTAAGGATAACCGCCGGAGACGCTCCGTATGAAACGCAATTGACTTTCTCGCGCGAGATCTCTGAGCACACAAACGTCGCCTCTTAATTTCGCTCTACTTCTCGGACGTTCCCGTCACGTCGTTGCGCCGACTATCCGAAAGAACAAATCGGCGTCCCTCGAGCGTTCAAGGCTAATTATTATACATTTGTCGCGCGACAAATGTTTCAAGCGTTGTCGATTGGCGCTGCTGAACAGAAAATGCCCAGGTACTCGAGAATTTTGCTATCCCGCAGCCAGTCAGCATACTTGAAAAATTTGTCGTACACTGAGACAAATGTCCGACGAAAAATGTCGTCGGTTTTTTCAATCAAATTTCATCGGATGTATCCATCATTTTATCGGAAAACGTAATCGGAAAAACTATGCAATTGGTTTATGCGATGAAAATTTTTCTCCGCATAGAAAATTTCCAGGTACTCGAGAACTTTCATATCCCGCAGCCGATCAACACGCTTGAACAATTTGTCGTACGATAACATTTTTAAGCGTGTTGATTGGCTACAAGCTACACTGAGGAGAACGTCCGATTAAATTGTATACCCGATGAAAAATGTTATCGGTTTTTCAATCACATTTCATCGGACGAATCCATCATTTTATCGGAGAACGTAATCGGAAGAATTAACCATCGGAAAAACTATGCAATTGGTTTATGAAAAATTTTCCCCCGTGTAGAAAATTTCTAGGTACTCGAGAACTTTTCTATCCTGCAGCCGATCAACACGCTTGACAAATTTGTCGTACGACAAATGTAATATCAGCCTCAGGCTACAAGCCAGAAAATTTGTAGATATACTCGAGAACTTTCCTATCCTGCAGCCAAACAACTCGCTTGAAAAATTTGTCGTACGACAAGTGCAATGTCAACTTAAGGGCCTGAGCAGAATAGCTGTCTTGTATTCTTAAGTCACAAGACAGTTACTGTGCGTTACTTTAAGACGAAGGTTTAAAACACAAAACATTGTCTTCAGAGTTACAAGACGGCCATTCTGTTCAGGTCCTAATCGCTGCCGGGGCGTTGTTCGCGAGTTGGCGGCGGCAACGCGCCACGCAGGACAAGAAAGCTGGAAAAGCTTTCGTCTCGACAATCATTTGCCGCGCTACGCGGTCTCGAGTGACACTTGTCGCGACTCTCGCGAAGAAATGTCGAATACTGGACCCACTCTCGACTACTAAATCTCTTCTCCACTCTCGGGTGAAGAAGATTTATTGTCTGAAAATCCTTTGATAAGTCGACTTCCATCGAGAGAAAAGTCGGATAGGACGTTTTGAACATCTGAGTTTATTAGGATCCGGCTTGCGTACGTGCACGGTTAATTTGTTGATAATCTGGCACACGCGGGAGAGACGCTTAACATAGTTAACGCACGTGCGATAATGTTTACGCGTTAACGTACCTACGTGCACGCGATTAATTTCGCGGACACGATTCTGCTCTCCGAGCGAAGGGAGTCAGAGGGACTATTAGAAGGAATAGCGCCGAGAGACTTTCCAGCACACACGCCACTTGCCGCCATCTCCATGTCGTTAACGTCTACTTGCGCTAAATTACGTGGCTGGAGAAACCCGACATACAAATTCATTCAGTAAAACGCGCCAGAGAAAAGAAGAACGTGTCCGCGTCCCGACAAGAATCTAACGTGTATCTTTTTAAAAGGAATCCATGCAAGTTGATGAATATTTAGCGCTCGGGCCAATTATCCCTCGCACAATCTCGAGCCCGTTGATTTGCTTATCTTTTGCGTCGCGCGTCGCGGTACGATAGGCAACTCCGTAGAAATCCCTCGTTATCGCCGACCTCGCTCGCTGATAAACTCGCGCGTACGTTTGCGACAATTAAAGATCGCACTTTAACGAGCGCAATCGTCCAGATCGCAAAAAGCGGTCTAAGGCTCTCGCTTGAAAATACGGCCAGACGAAGAGGAGAGCCAGCCATCCGTAGCGCAGCCGGTAGGGTGATCTGTGAAATTTATTACCGCGTCGCGGGACGGACTAAACGACAGCATCGATCATGCATCGCGTCACACGGATACGTTATAACGAGACGTATGCCTCGTTATAATAAGAGAGGCTCTTATTGTATAATAAAAGGGGTCTCCCCCATTTTCATCCTCGTGTCCGTTTTATTGACGATTCATGGCGAGCGCGGGTTCGTCTCAAAGCAGAACCGAAACTGATCAATCCCGTGAAGACCCACCACGTGAAAAACGGGAGAAAACCCATGGGAGAGGTGCTTCAACGGCCCAAGATTAGCGCGGATGTAGACCGCGGTTAAGTGCGCCCTCATAAAGCCTCGGAACGCGTGATCGTTAGATTTAACGATATGGATACAAAGTCGCGGACGTAACGGAACGGCGTAACGCGCGCCGCAAATTCCGGAGCGGCTTTACGGCGGGCGGTGCTTTCGCGAAAGGCGTACAAAGCGCGGCCGTTTCCATTTTCCCCGCGGAATCCACGGGGAAAAAAATCTTACCGCGAGTCCCGAGGATCGCGCGAGAGGCTTCGACCTTGCGAGAACGAGGCAACGCGCGCGGCACCATTGTTCGCCGAGATCACTTTTCCCTGTATCGTAAAAGAAAAGCGATCGCGCATCCTCGCGGACCGAGAGGTCGTAGAAAGGAATGTACGGCGACGGACAGAATGGGTCGCGACACTTAATTTTTAATGGGTTTGGGAACCGTGCTTTTAGATTCAGGGTTACGTTCCAAAATCTTCTCCCCCGAGGAATAATTTACTTCGACGGCCATTCCGAAACCATTTTCAGCGTTTCCGATCTATTTCTCGAGTGAAAGTTTCCTCAGATAGAATGTCTTTGAACGTAAACCTGAATCTAACTGTGCGTTCCTACGGAAAAATTAACCATCGCAAGCACTAATTGGTTTGTTCGAGGGAAAGTTTTCTCAGTGTGCTACGATAATATTGTAGAAATGTTCAAAGTGCCTCGCATGTTCGCAGATGTCGAATATGCAGATACGCTGTATGTTTAGGGCTTCCGCGATGGTGGGTTCTACTGCTGCTGTTGAAGAATACCGTCGACGCTCCCGTCGCTTATGATCCGTAAAAAATGTATCGCTTGAACAATAAACATTAGAAATAGTACGTGGTATTTCTTTCTTGTCAGCAATTTCGCAACTGTACGTTCAAGTAGCTCTATCTCGGAAACAGTGGGGAATGGGACATAGATTCATACGAACATTTTTACTTAAAACGACCGATTCTATCACCTCCCAGAATATTGACCTCTCCTCACGGGACACCCTGTGTAGAACACATTTTCCATGGACAATGGAACCGTGCACGTATGTATATGTATATGCCAAGCGCATAAATACACCGATACGTGGAGAAATTGACACGGGCAGGCGTCAGCGACGCCTAGCGTACGACTTAACGTTGCGGTGCGCGCGACTCGGCGAAGGCGCGCTTGCCAAAAAGGGCGCAGAGGTCTCGAGGGGGCCGAAATGATTGCGAGGGGCAATCGAGCACGTCGGTGGGAACGCCAGTCTTTCCTTCCAGGAAGGTAATTTCAAGTTGGCGGGTAGGTGGTCACGCGATTGCGTCTTACACGTGGAAGAGCCGCGGATGGCGGAGCGAGCTCAAAGCGAACCGATCCTGCGCATCGGGCCCGAGTTAAAGACTACCTGTCCGAAAGCCGGCGTTGTCGAGAAGTCTCTGGCTCTCTCGGCCGAGGTCTACCCTTCCCCTGAAAATCCGCCCATCGGCCCGGCGCGATCGAAGGAGGCCCTCGAGACCGAGGATACGTCGCCTCGTATCGCTCTTGCCCATAAAGAGGCTGTTTATCAACGACTACTTTTAGAAGCGGTGACTCACACGGTCCACGCAGACGCGCCGAACCTGTCCATCGGCCACGCACAAACCGCAGGGAGCCACCGGCTCCGCGCGCGCGCGCGCGGCCTTTTATCTCTCATTTCCGCCGAACCGGGGTTTCCTCGTCGTTTTGCTCGCACAAACGAGCCTTAGACGGGTTTTTAGTCGGCGTGACTCACCTTCTTCTCCGCTCGTCCCGACGTAGCACAACGAGATTCGGCCGGTCACCGTGAAAAGACTCCCCGCCGGAGGTAGTACACTTAACTCGTCACGTTCCTTCACGGCGCCTCTCCAGACGTGTAGGCGCATACTATTATAGGAAAAGAGGGTTCGACCGAAGAAAGGAAAGCCGATCCGAGAGGATCCTCGACGCAACGATCGGGAGAACACCGTGCGGTGCGTCCAGGTCAAAAACCCTAGGCTCGACAGGGAGATTTATTTCGCGGCAATTTCGCACGCGCGAACGCGACCAGATGGGGTGTCCGTCCGCCGGCTGGTTTATTTGTCGCGAGGCGAGGACGGCGACCTCGTTTGTGCGAGCGACGCGCGCGGGTAATCTCTAGCCAGGGACGATATACAACGCTCCTCGGCATAGCGCACGTATGAATATGTATGGAACATCGTATAATGGGACCGATACTCTGCGCGGAATTGCCCGTGTCTCTCCTTCCCTCGCGCGCGATAAGATTTATCTCCCCCCTCCCCCCCGTAGAAAAATCGATTGCGCCCAACTGCCCGCTAATGGATTTATCAGTAAGGGAAATTCTGCCGGGAATACGAGAGTGTACAGCGGTCCCGGAGGGACGAGTCACTTAGGGCATCCATTACCGTGTAGGAATGGAGATTGCCGTGTTGACGCCTCGCTAGCAAATAGGCGAGGAGGAAACTACGCGCGCGCGCGCGCCCCTCGTCCGGTCAACGAAAAGGAAAAAGGAATCGGGAATCGTGGGGCTGTGACGCGGCTGCATGTAGAAAAAACCGGTATATTTAGTGGTCTCAAACGCAAGGTCGTGGCGAGGAGCCGGGGCTGAGACTTGAGCGAGCACGTCCGAGGCGAACAATATTCGGCGGTGCGCCTCTCTATCTTTATTTCTTCTTTCTCTCGCGTGCACCTACACGCGCGCGCGCGCGCGCGCGTATATACGCGTGAACCGAGGATACCGTGGGAACGGGCCCCGGCATAACAGGTAGTAAGACAGTCGCGTCTCTCTTTTTTTCTCTCTCTCTCTCTCTCTCTCTTTCTCCTTCCTCTTTCCACCGTGCTTCATCACGCAGCCCGGCGCGCATCCGCGCGCGTAGCGCCGACCTTCATTGAATTTTTCTGCATATTCTTCTTATTAGCAGTAATCTCGTCGTTGAAATTCGAATACTCGCGATCCGGTCGGTCTCGGGAACGAGCGAGCGCGTAGGCGCGGGATGCGAGACAGGAGACTCGATACGCTCTCTCGCTCCTTCTCTCTTCGTCTCTGTATGCAAGAGCACGAGCCGAGAAACGCGTAAACATGGTTGCGATAAAGCGATTCCGGTTGTACACACAGTGACATAATCGCGCGCAAACTCGCGCAAACACAAAGGCGCCGAGGATGCGCGCCGCGAGAGACCGAGTAAAATCGAACGTGTGTCGTTAAAAATTGAAGCGCGTTTGGTTCCAACGCGCTCCAGGACACCTCCCCTCGCCGCCCGCCCCTCCCTCCCACCCTCCCTCCCGCCGAGTTACGCGTTCGCGAGGTCCGTTACTCACCTTACGTCACTGCGCGATCAACTCCGCTCCTTTCTTCCGGCCCCTTTCTCTCTCTCTCTCTCTCTCTCTCTCTCTTTTCTGCTCGTACGTCGTCCACGTCCACGAGCACCGCCGTTACGCCATTTAGACTCGCTCCGGGGTTCCTCCACTAGTTGAATGTAAAACTGACAGTCGCGACCGCGGGCGCAGCTTGCTCCGGCCCGACGTGTCGCGTGCGTGTGTACGCGGGCGGGCGCGCGCGCGCTCGCGCGCGTATCGAGACGCCTCGCAAACCGCACACACGGGGGGGACAACCGTCCCTAACCTCAACCTCAACCTCAACCTCGGCGCCCCGCGACGTTCGTGACGTGACAGGGTCCGCGCTTACGTTTCCACGTTCGGGCGCACGCGGGTCTGTCGCGCCCACGGTAGCGCGGGGTGACGTGCACGGCTTCCGCGCGAGAGCGAAGCGATAACCGACGTCGGTGTGTACGTTGGATGCGCGCGTAACGTCGCGTTCACGGCGCGCGCGCGGTGCTGCGACTGAGACGCCGCGCGCGGCGTCCACGGTTTTAACGCGACCGGACGGCGCCGTCCTCGTCGCACGCGCGCCCGCTCTCGCTCGCACCCGCCGAGAGAGTGCCCTACCCGGCGGGGACTCGCCGCGTTTAGAGATTATAATATAGCGAATTCGACCGCTCGCACTGGTGCGCACCGAGGCCAGGGGCTCGATTCTTGAATTTATTCAAAGGAGAAACGTATGCGAAAATTCGGCTCTTACAGAAAAGTTGCAAGTTGATTGGCTACTCGCATGGCTTTAACCAATAGACTTTCAACTTTTCTGTCAGAGCAGAGTTTTCGTATACGTTTCTTCTTCGAATGAATTCAAGAATCGGGCCCCAGTTTGTAGTCAACTTTTATACCTAACTTTGTCTCAAATACACGTTCAAGGAGTATTTAGCCAAAAATTGATCCGCGTGGATGCTATACAGTTTTACACTGAGAAAAAGGCAACGGTCGATATTACTAAGTATGTTATTCGTTAACAGTATTTCTTTAATTCAAATACCCATGTTTCTCAATTAAACGCACATCATTTATTCGAATGCGTATATTTTTTAATTAACAAGCGTTCGGCGTGCATTAACAAAGGCAGCCCGTGACTGCGGCATATAGTCGAGTCAAGAAATATTTTCTTGACTCAGCAGTTCTCTTTTCTCGGCGTACCGGCTACGAAATACTTGGGGAAATACTTAAGACGACTTCTCAGGTATAAGAATTGACTGTAAACAAGCCTTAAGGGTGCACTCGGTGCGCACTACTGCAAGCAACCGAATTCGCTAGTTAGATACATTCTCGTTTTGCCGACGCGCGCCCGCCAGCTCTATCAGGCGTTATCGGCCTCTGCACCGACGCAGGTGTAGAGCAAGTTGGACGCTGATAGTCGCCGAGCTCGCATTCTGCCCTTTGTCCACGAAGCCCTTCGTCGAACTCCCGAAGGCCTCAGCAGAATCCCAGATAGCACAAGACACTCCTATCAACATTTCAAGAATATTCCTCGAGAATATTTGGAATATTCCCCGTGGGTCATTCTTATATATCTATCTTATGTTCGTGGAACATTCGACTGGCACTACCATAAATCTTTTTCAAATGTAAATAGAATAATTTATCGAGTATAGCGCGTCGGTTATGTATGGTAGATCACTGCAGGTTTCACTGCCTTTTGCATAAGTGTGTCCACACGATAAACAATGTGCGATACATACACTGAAAAAAATTTCTGGTTGAATATGGACGAATCAGATAATTCCTTTAGGATTTACCAGAATTCCTTTAGGATTTACTAGAATTTCTGTAGGATTTACCAGAATTTCTGTAGGATTACAGGAATTCTGGTAAATCCTAAAGGAATTCTGGTAAATCCTAAAGGAATTATCTGATTCGTCCATATTCAACCAGAAATTTTTTTCAGTGTAAACTCGATGGATGTTAAAAACTTATTCCGAACGAATATTCCAAAGACATTCTCGGCGAATATTCTAAAAACGTTCCTCTTTGTTATGAATGTACGACTTCTAATTGTAATGATCTATATATATTTATAGAATATTCGATTGGGATATTCTGAAATTAAGAATGTTTGCGCACCCGAGGAATATTCATAGAACTATGTGTCTGGGAATGGCTGACTTGTGATCTCAAGCGTTTAGTAAAATATTTATCTATTATTAACAGTCGTACGGCAAAATGGTCACTGTCGCGCGTTTACATTTGCACGTTTATACGTTTGCAAACGCGTATGTATTTAAGCCCCCCCCCCCCAGGACACAATGCAGTCATTGTGTTTGAAACAAAGACTCGCGCAAAACATTGCCTTAAGAGTATCAAGACGTGTAAAGCAATTTGGACGTTCTACGTCATTTCTCCGCGAATCCCTTCGTCAAACTCCCGAAGGCCTCGACAGAATGGCCGACTTGCGATCTCGAGGCAGTGTTTATTATTTCAAGTATTTATCTATTATTAATAGCCGTGCGGCAAAATCGCAGACCTCTATGCACCACTGCTGAAAAGTGAGGCAAGAGTTCCGCCATGTCTTGTTAGATAAACGGTGCCTGTCAGCAACACACCGATGCACACACACCGTAGCAACTCGAAGGTGGCAGTCCCGCAGTACAGAGAAGTCTGTGGGCAAAATGGTTACTTTCGTATGTTTATTCGTTTGCGATCGTGCGTCAGGGTGTTCCAGGAAGAAGGGTCAACATTCTGGGAGGTGATAGTATCGGTCATTTTAAGCGAACGTGTTCATGTGAATCCCATTGTTCCGAATCCCCGCTGTTTCCGAGATAGAGCTATTTGAACGTACAGTTGCGAAGTTACTGACACGAAAGAAATGCTGCGTCACAATTTCTAATAATTTATTGTTCAAGTGACACATCTTTGCAGGTCATAATAAATTTTCGAAAATTCCACCGTTGACAACGGTGCATTTTTCAACTCTTGTGTGCGATTGCACTTTCGACATTTGCGAATATGCGCGGCATTTTGAACATTTCCACAATGCTATCAGCGCAACAGTCGTGCGAGAGTAAATTCCCGCAGACGTTTATGAGGTTGAATGAAGGCTGACGTGTACAGAAAACGAGTAAATACACGGAGACACTCAAGTAGCTCTATCACGGAAACAGTGGGGAATGGGACGTATATTCGTACGAGCATTTTCGCTTAAAACGACCGATACCAGCACCTCCCAGAATATTGACCTTTCCTCCTGGGACACCCTGTATATTTAAGCCCCGAGACACCGGACAGTTATTGCGCGTCACTTGAAACAAAGACTCGCGCGTAACACATTGTCTTAAAAGTATCAAGACGGCTTGTTCTGCTAAGGCTCTTCGTTCCGACCCAACGGATTCGCGGGAATACTTCATTATCGGCGGAAATCAGAAACCGCGATAGCCCGCATATGACTATGTACGGTCTCCGATGCACGCTCGTGTTTCGCGCGTTATCTCATTACACGGAGGAATACGCGATATGTATATTCCCGTTGCTCGTCACCTCTCGGACGGATGACGCAACGCGCTCCACTTCTGGCTACGCGCATTAAAACGTTAATGTAACACGTGATGTCACGAATTCTGACCTGGCACCCGCGGAGCGTACGTCCCTCAGCTCCGGGCGTAAATTCCCAAAAGGACGAGCGACGCTTTTGTGCCCGCACAAAATCCTGGGCGAGAGCTCGTTACGCTGGGGCAGCGCGTCTCAGCCAGGTGTTACGGACGTACGCCACAATGCCCTTGAATCGACAAAAGATAGAGAGAACGGCCCCGTTTCTTTCGCAGGGGTCCCTTTCGAGGGAGCGCGCAGAAGAAAAGCCGGCGACTCCGGCCCGTTTCGCGCGAGGCTTCGATTAAATCACTTTCGCCATCGTCGATTACGTTTGCGCGTGCAGGTAAGCTCGCAAGGAGTCAACGGTATCAGCGGGCATCTAATCTGAATTCTGCGATCTTGAGCGTCCGATCGAGTTCACCTCGCGCGACTGCGACTCGTTTGACGCGGTATGTCGAGCGTGGGTCGTAGAGTTGGTCGTTGTAAATCGCTTACGCGACGGGCGATAAAATCCCGAGCCCATTGGAACGCGCGTGCCGGTCAGTCGTCGATCCCTCGCGTTTCGTCACTCGTGGTAATAGATGATCGTACGGCCGGCCGTTCAGCACGCGGATTAACGGCGTCGGCTGCGAAATAACGCAATAACAATCGATCTCGCGCGGCTCCAATTTGCCAACGCGACCGGTGTATCCTTCGGAATCGCGCGCGCGTCCTTCCTCGCACAAGGCGCGTCACGGTTTTCGACTCGCTCCTCAAGCGCACCGTCAAACGCACTCGAAGATCGAGCCCGCGATTCGTGGCTCGAGACAGCTCGACATTCGTAATTCGCTGCTCGCGTTCCGTCGAGTTTTCGAGTTTTTAAAGCGAGATAATTTCACGCTACGGCTCGATTTTCGTCCCCAAAAACTTTAAAGAGCGTCAAATTCACGAGCAGGGCGCATTTCATCGACCAAATTGAGTGAGGCTTATTGTCGCCAGTGGTAATTAACACGGGGAATTTCTTTTGAAAATCGACCAAACTAGCATAAAAAGTGATATACATTTAAATCACAATGGTTCGACCTCTTTATTGTGTCCTTTTCAAGTGCAATCTAATGTTGACGGAACGAATTAATTTTATGCCGAAACAGAACGAGTTGATGTGGCAGCAAATTCATAATGTCATATATGTCTCGGTAGTCACTGGATTTTTAATAGCGATGTCAATTTCTAAAATTTTCGAGCGGCAACCGTACGTTAGCGGACCTCGAATAAAACAGTTTTAACAACATCAAGTTTGGTCGACTGTATCTAGCAATTTTAACGTTTAAGACTCGCTACGTTTCGACCATGGGTTTTGGTCCTTTTCAAGCGAACTGGCTGCACATAGTAAGAAATCTTTTGGATTATTACACAGATAAAGTGTATACATACAACACAGTCCGAGATATTAAGGCCCGGTTTCACCAGACGTCGCTTAACTTTAATCTTGGTTTAATTTTTGTTTGCCTCTTTCTAAAGTAACAGTTGGGAAAAGGCAAAGAACGAATTAAGCTAAGCTTAAAGTTGAACAACGTTGGTGAAACCGAGCCTAAGTCAGTTAAAAGAAATTACAGTTGTTAGAGGATATTACCTGAGATTAAAACGGTTTTATTCAGTCAACATTAGATTGTACTTGAAAAGGACCCGATAAAGAGGTCGAAACGTCGTGACTTGAATATATGTCACTTTTTATGCCAGCTTGGTCGATTTTGAAGAGAATTTTCCCATAATGATCGAGCACGTTGTTTGAAATTGACGCCAATTCGCCGGTCTTCTTGGCGAGATGAAAGAGCGCGAGTCGCCAGGAACCCGCGCGTGGTCTGCCGTCGGCTCGAGAGATCGCTAAATCATACGAGAGACCTCTCACCCGGGCGCGATCGATAAAAGCCGCTCTATGCCGCTCTAATTCCCGCTACCGGG